TAACTTCTCTTCACCATCCTCCGTTTGATTAGACACTGCTTCGTTTCTAATACATTTATTTCCACCTTTGGATAAGAGGAAAAGTTCAGTAGTCTTACAAGGTAGATGTGTTTAAGTGTCTAAAATAATTCTGACAACTCATTTGTACAAAAAGTGTAAACTCACTACACCTTTTACACACATTTTACACTTGCTCCTCACAATATAAGGCATCATCAACATTTCATTTTACAGATGGTAGTATGGCCAGGACTCATGCAATTTCACATGAATATTCGTGCTTTATACATGTTCTTCTTATAAACCAAGGGTAGATATATGCATACGTGTATTGTTACATTTAGTAAGGTGACAAATAGTTACAAGATATTTACGGACTCAAAGAACTTACGAAACGGGAACTGCTTGGAAAAACAGTTCACTTTCCCTTTCAGTTTTGATACTGTAACTTGTCTGTCGCTGTCACAATAAACACCGGCTCTTGGGTTCACCTGGGATCTATTCTGCTAAGACTCTGGAGTTGTTTGTATGTTATCAGAGCGTGTTATCTGTACAAGTGTGTGTGGATGTAGTGTTACTTACCTCCCCTGCTTAAAAACTACCTCCTCCCCAAGCTGGATTTTGACCTGATTGATCGTAATGGTTCCAGAGGAACTGTTGAGCCATTACAATCCATCATCTAAATGATTACAGAGGGATACCTAAATCTCCGGGTTATTTGAAAGCTCTGTACATGCGTAAAGGGGGGTCAAATGAGCAGAGCCCCAATTGTACACAAAGTAGTTACAGGAAAGCTTGCCTTGGAAGCAAAAACTCCTAAGTGCTAAGTAAATAACTTTTAAAAAAAAAAGTGAGGTCATTTTTGTGTGGCTGGGGAGTAGGGAGAAGTGGGGTTCATTTTTGTTTTATCCAAAACACACCCAAAGCCACAGAGGCCACGTTCTAGTTAATTTTCTGGAAGCCGTTCAATTTTTACTCTGCAGACAGGCTGGGGCTCTTTCCTTCCCAGTAAGCAGGGGTTGGGAGAGAAGCTGGGGCCGCGGCAGGGAGACCTACGGAGGCTGTCACAACCCCAAGTGTGCCCAGAAAATGTGGCGGCGAGGGCTCGCTGCGGGACTGGGAGCCATGCAAAGACCGGGTAGCTCTGCAGTCCCGGCTATGGATCTCCGCTGGACCCCACCTGCACTGGCGGGGTGTAACCCGGACCTGGAGGCCTGGTCGCTAGTGTGGGGACCTTTTCCGAAGGATGCTCAGTTCCAACGGAGACTGGGCCCCCGTGGGCCCCCGCGGTTGCGCCCTGCTGGCGGTGGGCGGGCGGGAGAGTCGGAGGGAGCCCCGGCGGAGTTTGCGGCGGGTCTAGCCGCCGGCGGCGGGAGCTTGCAGGCTCAAAGTGAGCAGAAGCTGCAGCCGCGGGTGGCGGAGTGCGCTGGCCGCCCGGGAATGGGATGGGTGTCCACACAGGACTTTCGTCACCTGCAGTGGGCTCCGACACCATAGGATGGTTGGGTTCTGGCTACAGAGGACGTTTACTAAATTCCAAACGTGATGTCCTTGTGAGTCCTAAATGAATCTGACTTCCCTAAAAAGTAACATGGGAGACTTTAGGTGTCCTGGGTCCTGCCCTCCTCAATCCAGCCAAGTCGGAGTCCCATAGCACTGCGACCTGCTTTAGGTTGATCAGTTTCTCTTAAATAGTCGGGGGAGGGGATCCTCTGCTGTTCCTCCTCGAATGGAGAGCAGAGGGGTTCTTAGCTTTCTGGGCTTCTTCTGCTTGCCCTACTCAGGGGGAACCAGAACCTGGTTGGCTTCCAGTGGAGACTGAGGCCATGGTTTGTGGGTCACTGCCTTGGGAGCTTGGATTGGGGTGGAGGACTCCAGCAACTAGCAAATCTTTCATTTCATTTCTGAGGTTTCTGGGTTTGTTCATTGTCAGAGCAAGACCTAGAAGGAGCATCTTCCAAGCCAGGTATCTGAAACAGGCCCATCTTTGCCCCAGCTGTGCCAGAGTCCCACAGCACTCACCTTGTCTTGTCCTACCTTGCAGACCAGCTCCGGGGGAGGCAGCCAGAAGGCCTCTGGGAGGCAAAGCCCGAGACGCTGGGCTATGAGGAGCCAGTTCCAACCTTGCATCCCCATCTTGCCCTACATCTGCTAAATTCCAAGATTTGCCCTGAGTCCAAATCAGTTTTCCAGGTACACTGGCAAAAGTGGCATCAAACAACCAGTTGCATGGTCCTTTCTTCAGAATCCCTAAAGACTCTCTTTCCAAGAGCTCTTTAGGGATCCTACTACCTGGAGATTTCTACAAGCCCTTGAAGCATGTTGGCCAAGGGCCCTGATTCAGAAGAAAAAGGCAAATGGAAAGATGGAGGAAATACAGTTATACTGTGTGTTTTGAGCAGGAGATGGAGTTTGTACACCTGGGAAGCTCCATCCCACCTGAATGTCCTCTTCAGAGCTTTTCCTAAGCAATCTGGACAGCCAGACGGCCAACTGTGGGGGCCTTTCTTGGGTGCTTTCATGGCTGCTAATGGAGGTTCCCAAGCTTTGTCTCCTAGGAAAGCCTGCGGCGACTGGTACAGGCAAATTCCCTGGACCAAGGTGGAAGCGAGCACAATCCAGGAATACCCTGCTGGGCTTTCCTTCCAGGCCTTCCCCTCCTCTTAGAACTTGCTGCCATGGAATCTCAGGGAAAGGAGTGATCTCAACTCCTTTCTGCTCCCAAGGGGCTGCTCCCTGGCCAGAATGTCGCCCCATGCTGGCAGCTGTTGGATTCCAACTGCATAGGCAGACTTATGTGGGCCCCTGACTCAGCACCAACCTGTGGCAGGGGATGAGTGCAGTCCCTTGGGACAAAAACTGCACCCCCTCTCCCTCCTCCCCACCCAAGTCAAAGTTACCTAGGGGCTGGAGGCCAGGTTCTGTCCTAAAGGCCTGTGGATAAGACAAGGGTCTTTTTCCAACTATGTCTTTTGGCGGCATTTCCACTATCATTTCCCTAGGTCAGAGAATGACACCCTAAAAATGTCACATCAGACTTGCAGAGCGAAGCTGGACAAAGCACCATTTCCTCCCCCAGAGACACAGAAGTAATATGCTAGAGACCCACTGAGGCGCTGGGTGGATCACTCAGCAGCAAACTTGGGGCAAACCTTGGGAGTGCAGTGGTGTAAATCTGGACCCACCCAAGCCCTGGGAAACCTTTGCCTCCTCCTGAATCCAGGGCTGGTGTTCCAGAGAGGTGGCAGCAAGAGGTCAGGGCTGGGGTCAGCTGGAGGTCAGCTCTCAGAGCCCAGCAGTCAGTAAGGTATGGGCACTCTCCCTAAGGCGGAAGCAGTGAAGACAGAATTTCTTGCAGACAGAATCCTGACCCCTCCTTAGGTCCCAAATGCCACCTGAACAAGCTCCTTGGGCTCAGAGGTCCTGAAGCTGAGGAACTTTGCAGCTTGCTCTCCAAACTCCCAACCTATCCTCCCAGAACAAATGAATACATGATTGGAGGGTGCGACAGTGCCTTAGGGTGGAATCCCAGAGGGTTTTGGAATCTAGGACAATAACTTTCTTGACCTCCTTCCCCCACCCTCCACCTCTGATCTTTCCACTGAACTCCACACCCCAGAGTCTGGGGTCAGCCCTAGGCATTGGGGTCTGGGCTGCCCTGGGGGTGAGCACTCTGTAGATGTCCATCCAGGAACTGCTCCATACCTAGGGCCCTGCGCCTCTGGGAAGGGATTCTGGGAGAAAGGACGACTCTGCCAGGGTCCAAAGAGCTCTGGAGTCCCAGCTACAGGGCGGGGATCCCGGTGTACCCCCCCAACCCTGCATAGGCTGTGTCCCAGGCATGCAGGAATAGGACCGCAAAATGCGAAGTTTCAGCCTGCTCTCCTCCGCTTGAGGCTGTTTCCTCTAGCACGCCAGGGGTGCCGTGGTGGGCCTAACAATGCAAAAGGGGTCGCACCGGACTGAAAAGCAGGGGACGCAGGTCGGGAGAGGCCGGGGCCAAGTGAGCGCGGCTGCCAAAGTCTGCTGCCCCGGTCAGCAAAACTTTGTCTCTCAGTGCGCAGGCGCAGGGCAGGGTTGGGGGACAGGGGAGGGAGGGGAGGAATCCTGAGGCAAAGGGAGGAGGGAGGGAGAAAGGGAGGGAGAGAGGGAGGAAGGGAGGGAGGAGGGTGGTGGATTAAAATAAGTAGGCGGCTCGGTGCTAAGGGATGAGTGAGTTGGAGCTCGGTCTCTCCCCAGCAAGTTCTCAGCCGCTCCCGGTTCAGACCCAACCAGGGAGCCGCGAGCGGGGCTCACCATCCCCCGAAGGGCAGGACTCCGGGGCAGTCGAGCGCTCCCGCGTGTCGGGCGCTCCGAGTCCCGGCAGCCGGAGAGGAGCCAGGACTCTAGAGCTCCGGGGGTGCCTGTGGAATCCAGCGCCTCTGGCTTCCCGGGTCCCCCGCAGCGGAGCCCCAGAGACGCCCTCAGCCCGGGACCGCCGCGGAACAAGGTAACTGCAGCCCTGGGAGCCCCTGCTCGGCGAGGGGAATGCGGGCAGCACTCCCGGGTCCCCTGTCACAGTGCGGCGGGTGTCTCCTCTCTCTGGGTCCCAGAAGGAAGCTCCTCTTGCCAAACGAAGGCTGCAGGACCTTTGTGAAAGTGAGAGCAGCTGCAGCCCAGGGTGGTTGGGGGTGCTGGCTCGGGGACTTCCCGCGCGGGGTCTTCGGCCTCTGACCTCCGGGGAATGAGGGGGCGGGCCTCCACTCCTGCTCCTCGTGCGGCCAGGCTCCATGGAATCCGGGGCGAGATGCCTGCGGATTTCGGAAGTCAGCCTGTGGGCCCCCCTCTAAGAAACCGAAGAAACTTCAGCGGGCACAAACTTTCCCGAGATGCACGCCTAGCTCAGTCTGACCTACTTTAGCGGACGAAGAAGGAAAAGAGAGTGGATGGATGGCCACGGCCGCAGCCGACGGCGCCAGGGACAGGTGCATGCCCCAGCCAGGTCGCGCTCTACGTGCAAGTTTTCTTTTTTCCTATTTCGGAGTTGCGCTCAGGTATCAGGCCGGCTGGACCGGGAGCGCAGGGCCTCGTGCCTGACCCAGCCTTGCACTTGAGCTCTAACTTTGGGGTGTTCTCTATAGATAATTGCTCTGTGTAGTCAAGGCCTGGGGAGTAACCCGCCACTGTTTCGGTGCAGGGAAGCGTGCAGGGGGGCGCGAAACACTACTTTCCAATCGGTGACCCGCACTCCGAAGTAGCGGAAACGCTATGGGTGCCGTGAGTGTCTCCGGTTTGGGGCTTCTAAGGGAAGGATTCGTTTCCTCCCCGGACTGTCCCCTAACTCAGCCTTCGGGAGAGAAGGGGGAAGTCGGAGCAGAGAGGAAAAGAGGTGAGGGGCTGCCTGCGGAACTAATTTCTTTCCCGAAATGTCTCTGATCAGAAGAATGAAAACCCACATCCAGTCCTTTTTCAGCAGCTCGCGCAGGAGCGGGATAGGCTCTCAGGGTGTAAAGTAGCTCCGAGGGTTTCTTTGTTGCCACAATTTGGTAAATTTCAACCGGGCTAAGAGCTGCGCGCTAGCTTTTGGGAACAGAAACCACGTGCAAAGCTAGTTGGTCTCCCAGGATCACGGCCTCCTAGAGAAGAGAGGGGCTGACAGGGACAGGGGACTACCAGTGGGTTGATGTTCTATCCCAGGCTCCTCAAAGTAATCGCGGTTTCATTAAGATTGGGGAACAGATCGCTAAGGACACAGCGGGAGTTTAAAAAAATGCTGCGGGATGGCCGCCTAGCCAAAGGGTTCGTTCGGTCTCGTTTGTTGGGAGAATTCAACAGAAGTATCCGGTGGTGGTTAGTCCTCCCACCGGGGGTCTGGACTCCTGTCACCGCGAGTGTGTTGGGGATTCGGTGTCAAGGATGATTTTCTGGGGCTGCTGCTGGGCTCCTTCAGGCGCAAGCTCGTGGAGTTCGCTCCGTTCTCATTAATGCAAGCAGTTAACTCGCTCACGCTCAATTAGCCCCGAATAAACCACTTTAATAGACTCTACACACTTCATTAATGCCCAGCGTAGGGCTGGCTGCAGACCTGAGATTGGCGCTCCACCGCGCGAGGGAAGCAGCGCCGGCACTGCGCAGGGGACCCAGGCTCGGAAGCGCGAATTGCTTCTGCTGCGTGCAGTCGGGATCTTTACCCGCACCTCCCAGGTCCCGAGGCTCAAGCTCCTTGCCAAGTGGCTGCCTGGCCCGGGGAGAGGTGTTTCCCCTGGTGTTTAAAAATCTAAAGCGTTCACACACGAGTCCCGGGGGTCAGGGCAACGGGGCCCGGAGGGGCTGGGAGTTCGTCCATCCTCTCCGGCTGGAGAGGCGAGTGTGAGACTGTGTTTTTCTCTTAGTTGACCGCCTGAAACCGGATCGTGCATTTCGCCCATTCTTGGTACTAGTGTAAGGAGCCACGTTTCGAACGAATTTCGTCCCCGGGAAAATCGTTGGCGAGAGCCTGGGGAGCCCTGGCCTCGGAATGCGGCAGAAAATAAGAAACTGGCTGCGCTGCTGAAGAAAATAAATTGAGTGTTGGGGGAAACAAGATCGGGCAGATAGCCCGGAAAGGTTGGCTCCCAAGAGCAGTGATGGCTGCAAACGCCCCCTCCCCCCACGGAGCCCCAGGTCCTCTCGGCTCCTGGAGGTAGGCGAGGAAAGGCCAGGTTAGTACCCGACGTTGGTGGGCTCCCCACCGGGGCACCGAGCGGGCTCGGGCCCTTGTGCAGCCCAGAGCCCCAGCGCCACCGCCGATCGCTCGGCTGGGGATAGGTCGAGCGGAGAGGAGCAAGCTGAGGCCCCGGTGGAGCCGGGAGGGCCCGGGGGAGCCAGAGATAAGGATCTGATTTCCAGCGCCTGGAGGGGAAGAAGAGGTGACAGCAAATCAAAGAGCGCTCACCTCGCCTAAGTCTGGGCCAACGTTTGAAGTTGGCGAGTTTTCTCTTTCTCTCTTCTTCCTCCTCTCTCCTCCCCAACCCCAAAGGGCCCCTGCTTTCTCTCTGGCCCCATTCGTATTTTGATTCGCCATGTCTTAGCGCTCTAGGATGATCCCGTCGCTCTAGGATCACGGGGCCACCAGTGATCCAAGCAGCAGAGAAGACTGGTCCGAAGGCCCTGGCTCTTCCACCGGGGTGGGCACTCCTGCTCCCAAGGCTCGGTCACCGCAGAGTTGTGCCTCCCTTATCCCCGAGGCTGAATTAATTGCTGCCTTGACGCTGGGTTTTCAGACCATTGCTAAGTAACTCGCAGGCGGAAACTTCTGCAGGCTCTCCGTGTTTTGCACCTTCCACCCCCAGTAGAACCTCTGTCCCTACCAGCCCACTATTCAGCCAGTGACCTTTCTGCCAGCTTCCAAGGGAAAGCGTTTCTGGGTCAAGATTGTCCTTACTCCTTCCTGAATGGGCAGGGCACTCTCCCATTAAAAGCTTTGCTGCAGTGAAAGGCTGCGGAGTCTCTGACTGGGACTTTTGGCCTTGGGCTGAGGGTAAGCTAGGCTAGGGAAGCTGTCTGGGTGGTGTCAGTGTCTGTCCCTGGAAGGAGCAGAACAGTGGCCTGCACAACTCAGGGAGGGGGACTTACTGAAGGTTAGAGGAACAAGCTGATGAAGAGAAGAGGGGGAAATGAGGAGTAAAGGAAGAAGTGGGCAGCAGGGGATTGAGACAGGCAAGGAGAAGGGCTCCCCAAGTACCCTGCTCCCACAGTGACTTCTTAAGTAGCCCCCAGCTCAGAGCCCAGAGAGTTCAGCACTTGAGCCTCCCAAGGCCCCACATGTACTTTCTACTTTCCTTCTCCATTTTTTGCTTTCACTGGACAGACTGAAAATCGCAGGAATGTCTGGGAGGCTCAGGGATGAAAAGTCTCTCTACAGAGCCCTGATCTGTCCACGGAGGCTGGAGACCCTGACCAAGCAGGCCAGGAGATGCCCGTCTGCTTGGTCGCTTCAGCTTCCCGGCCTTGCATTCTGAGGGGCAGAGATCAAAGCAGCTGAGGCCCAGCCTCAATTCTGTAGCCCATGGGCATACCTACCTGCCCAGGTGTCACTGCACACAGAAACATCCAGAGAACCCAAAGACACCGCCCCCTTTTTTATGGGATAGGGAGGGCACTGAAGCTCCCTCATGTGTGATGGCAGATGTTTGAATGAGTAAATGAACGTGGGTGTCAGTTTCCTCGCTGAAACCAAGGTGATCCCCGGGGGGCTAAGGTAAGGAGTCAGTCCAAAAGCAGAGAGGGTGTTGTCCACAGGGCTCATTAATAGTGAGGCAGAAAAGTAAATTTGACGTCGAAGTTGAGAGTTTTGAGGAGAAAGATGACATGACTTCTGGAAGCCAAACTGAAGATCAGCTAGTAGAGTTTAATGCACGGGAAGCGGGAGACGTACAGATTTGTGTGTGTTTGTATGTGTGCTCTCTCTGTGAGGCCTTTCGTGGGTTCGGTGCGATCTCCTGTGTGTGTATGTGTGTGCTCCCGCATATGTGTGTGTGACCACATTCGGGCCAGTTCCTGCATTTTGTTGAGTAGCACAACACTGATCATCTCCGTTTATCTGGGATGCACCTTGTCAACTGCTTCGGAACGCGTGAATCCGCGTTTATCTGTCACTGCGCGTTTCTATGTTTGTTTATCTGCACATGAATGTGTAAGTGTGCTTCCAAGTTCCTGTTCTCTTTGCAGGAGAGTGCAATTCTGTGTTGACTCAGGCTTGCGTGGATGTAAATTTCCACACACCAGTGTCCCTGTGTCCCTGCCTTTCTCAGGGCTCTGGACACTGGAGGCCTTCACTTAAGTTGGTGGAGTTCCATAGGATTTAGTTTCTGTAGCAAGTTGTGTGTCTCTGCGAAGGCCATTTGGAGGTAGCCCTTGCATCAGAGAGGGTTCCATCTTCTCTGTGAGGGCAGTGGGTTCCCTCAGCGGGGGTCTCAGACGCCCAGCATCTGCCCTGGGGGGACGAAGAGGGTGTGGCTGGGCTGGAATTCAGGAGGAGGGCGACCTACCCTGAACTTCTCTTTTTTTCTCCCTTCTTTTCTTCTTCTTTCCTTTGCAGATTGAGATCAAGACCCCACTGCAACTACCACAATGGGCAGCAAAACCTTGCCAGCGCCGGTGCCCATTCACCCATCCCTGCAGCTCACCAACTACTCCTTCCTTCAGGCAGTGAACGGCCTGCCCACGGTGCCCTCGGACCACCTGCCCAACCTGTATGGTTTCAGTGCCTTGCACGCTGTGCACCTGCACCAGTGGACGCTGGGCTACCCCGCCATGCACTTGCCGCGCTCCTCTTTCTCCAAAGTGCCGGGCGCCGTGTCCAGCCTGGTGGACACGCGCTTCCCACTGCCCGCCTTTCCCTGGTTTCCTCATGTAATCCAGCCTAAGCCCGAGATCACCGCTGGAGGCAGCGGCCCCTCCGCACTCAAGACCAAGCCACGCTTTGATTTTGCCAACCTGGCTTTGGCTGCCACGCAGGAAGATCCATCCAAGCTTACCCGGAGGGAGGGTCCTGGGTCCCCCGCTGGTGGGCTGGGTGCTCTCCTGGATGTAACCAAGCTGTCCCCAGAAAAGAAGCCCACAAGGGGACGCCTGCCTTCCAAGACCAAGAAGGAGTTCGTCTGCAAGTTCTGTGGCCGCCACTTCACCAAGTCCTACAACCTCCTTATCCATGAGCGGACACACACCGATGAGCGGCCCTACACCTGTGATATCTGCCACAAAGCCTTCCGGAGGCAAGACCACTTACGGGACCACAGGTACTGCGGGTGCCCCCCCCCCCAAAAAAGCTGTCTGTCTCTGTTCTCACCTTCCTCCACCCTAATGAGGCGGTTCTTGAGCCCAGCTCTGGCTCCAAGCATCACAGTTCCTGGGAATTCTCTAACATAGCAAAGGAAGTCCGACAAGGCTCAGGGATAGGTTCTTGGAGCATGGGGTGGAGAGAACCTGGGAAGAATAAGTCAGGTCTCCACAAGCTCCAGATGGGCAGGCCCAGCTGGCCTCACCCTTCTCCCATCTGCAGCGTTGTCCACTACAAATTTCTGCAGTGATGGAAAGCGGGACTCATGACACATGTCCCCACTGAGCACTTGAAACGCACAACTAGTGTGACTGCGAGATTAACTTTTTAGTTTTACTGACTTTTAATTTTAATAACTACATGTGGCTAGTGCTGCCCCAGCTTGGACAGTACAGCTCCAGCAAATTGCCCACCCCCCCAGGTCCCCTCGTTCACCTTTATTGTTAACCCAGGCCTTATAAGGAAACCGTGCTTGTCCCTCTGGGGGAGACAGGGGCGGGCCTAGCTGGACCTGTGGACCGATCCGATGGATCAGACATTGCCTATGGGTTTCCTTCACTCGATCCACACACTTCGCATTTTGCCCACTCCACACTAGGTACCCCCCGCCTGCCCCCCCCCTTTCTTTGGAGGGCAAGTGCCTCATTGCTGTGGGAGGGGATCTTGGATAACTGTGTATAACATGACATCATTTTGCAAAGATTAATTTCCCTGTTTTTGCTTTCAGATATATCCACTCCAAAGAGAAGCCCTTCAAGTGTCAGGAGTGTGGGAAAGGATTCTGCCAGTCCAGGACTCTCGCTGTCCACAAGACGCTACACTCACAGGTGAAGGAGCTCAAAACCTCCAAGATCAAATGCTAAAGAGAGCCTCCGGGTCACCAGCACCCTGGGTCACGCTGCCCCTTCCTCCAGAGGGACCTGAAGCCGAAGGCGACTCCGGCGGGCAGCGGGAGGGGTTCCCGGGACCTTTCCCTATCCCAAATTTGTCCCCTGGGTCCCGGGCGCACGCGGAACTCGAGAGCCCCGCCCCGAGCCGTGACCCCAGCCACCCGGGCGGCTCCCCCAGGACGCGGCTAAAGTCTTGGCCAAAAGGCGGTACTCACGTGGCGGAAGGGAAACTGCATTTAAAAAAAGAACGAAAGCTCCGCGGAGCCGCAGCGGCGCCTCTCCCAGAAGTATTACTTTTTCTATTGTTATTTTATACGTTTTCTTTATTATTTTTTTTTTTTCTTTGACCATATAAGCTTGTAACTCTGCCTGCGGAGAGAGAGGGGAGAGGGAAAGAAGTTCTGCGCGTTCGCAGCTTTCAACCCCTCCTCCCGTCCCCATCCCCACCCCGGGGAGCCTGCAAAAGTGTAATCCATGTATCTGCTTCAGCAGCCCGGCCCTGGGGCCGCGGGGCCGCGGATGCCTCCTCCCTGCGCCGCGGCGCGGCCGCGGGTCCTTGGCCCTCGGACTCAGACGGCGGGGCGGGGGGGCCCTGGGGCTGGAGGGGGCCCGGCCTCCCGCGCCCCTGCTCCCCCGCCCAGTCACCACGAGCGAGCAGCCGGCTAGGAGCAGGGCGTTGTATTGCGATTGGCACTTTATGCTGACCATCGGTAACGGACATTTATCACTGGAGTTTTTTAAAATATGAAATAAACGGTTATTTTACAGGCATTGCAGGATGGGTATTTTCCCTCCCAAACACAGGAAACTGGGAGGCTCCTTTCCTCGAAAGGAGCAGGTTTCCCTACCCGCTCCAACCTGTCCCGCTTCCGAACCCCCGCCTTATTGAGGTGCTAGGGTTGAGATGGATGGAGAAGCCTCCTCTCTCCCTGTGTTGGTCTACCTCGGATCCCGTCCCAGGTTTCTTTTCTTACTTCACTCCTCCATTTCGGTCTTAGGTCTCAGGGTCCCCAGTCCTCACCTCCAAACCGCTGGGGTTTTATAAAGAAGCCGAGCCTGCGGCCAGGCCAGGACGTCGGCCGTGAGAAATCTCAACGTCTCCGGGTCCCGGGGTCGCTTAGGGTCCACTAAGGGAACAGAATGGCACCCACCTCTCCAACCAAAGGCTTCCGTACTGACCTCCTGCATCTGCTCTGGTGAGGGAAGGGGGTGCCTTCACTGATAGCCTCAGGCCCAGGACTGTCCCCTGGGCCCCCATACCCGGCTGCACGTGCACAATCACCGCTGCCTCCCCCAAAGCCCCAAACCTACAACCCTCCCTCCATTAGGATCCCCCAGAAACAGTTCTTTGGCTGGGGCTCGTCCCCTGCCCGGGGCACGGCCGCACGCCCTCGAAGATTCCCTACAGTTTTTAAAGCCTTGTTAGGAATGGCGGGGGCGGGCGCCCTGGGAGGCCCGGGAAGTTTAGGAGGGGAAATCTGAGTCCGCCCTCCACAAATTGAACCTTCCCCGGGGCGTCTAGTTTTCCCACAATTAGAGGCCAGGCCGCCGGGGGCTCTCCTGTTTGGGGCGGGGCGGGACTCCCCACAGCCCCAGAGTCCCGACCGCAGGGAGGCGCAGGCGCTGGCGCCCGCGGCCTTTCCCAAGCCGAGCGCGCGGCCTCTCGGGCTTCTGTGCCCGGCTCTCAGCGGCCGCGGAGACGGCTGGGCCGAGCTTCCCTGCCGCGGGGACCCAATGCCCCAGCCTCAGGCAGGGCCCTGCGGGCCTGAGAAAGGAAGCCCGGGCCGTAGGAGTTAAAACGTTCTCGCCTTTCACTGCACCGTCCTCACCTCCTCCGGGCATGCCCCCCCGCCCCCCCCAGTGCGGGCTGGAACTCCGCGGTTCCGGAACCCAACTTGCCCGTGTGGCCTTGGCTGGGCCGGCGCGGATGAGCCCGGCCCTCCGCGTTCGGAGCCACGCTGCCCCCTGCTGGACAGGCCTGGACGGGCGGCCCAGGACTGGGGCACCTCACAGTACCCTGCCCACAACTCATCTAGATGGACTCTCTAGATGAACTCTCCGCTGCAGGCCCTGTCCACCACTCCTCTAGATGTCTGGTCTTGCCCTCAAAACCTTCTTGACCGGTCCCACGGCCCACTGAGAATGAGGACCGTCCGGGTTTGAACCGGCCTGGGGGATCTCCCCTCGTGGAGCAAGATCACAGCCCTTCTTCCCCAGCTTCATAAGGACGCTCCCCAGGAGAGAAACGGAGTCTGGATCCCAGAGAACTGATTTCTGGGCGCAGAGACGGAGGGTTAGTCAGTGGGCTTGGGGCTTCGACGGCTTTAGCCCAGCCAGTGCAAGCCGTAGTAAGGTGTGCGCACTTGGCCATGGCTTATGTTAAGGCCCATTGCAGGAGCCACATCGGTTCCTTTATTAGCTCCGTGAGGTCGGGGGACGTGGCTGTTCTAAGATGACAGTGCCTGAGTACACACAACCCTAGCGAAAGCTTTGGGCACCTCTGAGGACCTGTGAGAGCGCCTCCCTCAGTTCCTCTGCTCTTTCCGGGGTTCCATCTTTCTCAAGGATTTACTACTGCTGCAGCTCCCGCAGCCGCCACCTTAGCCACCTCCCACTCCCCCAGGACGTCCAGAGCCTCTGCAGTTAGCTCCGCCCCAAGGACCTCGTGAAGGCTATGAAATGGGGGAGGTTTGCAGACGAGGTTTTTCCATTCTGGACCACCCCACCTCTGATAACCTGAATCCCCTTCCTTCCGTCCTTCGTAGGCCCTGCAATATCAAGTGTGCATCCTTAAAGGATGGATTCCCAGCACAGGGTTTATAGCGAGGCGCTGGGAGTCGCGCAGCGTACTGTCCAAAGACCTGCACTGACTCACAATGCCTCCACCGTGCCTTGCCCTACCAGTGGCTCACTATCATCCTGCTGGACCCAGAAGCCACTTCGCAGCATAGCTCGCTGGGTCCATCCCCTGACAGTGATTTCATGGATTGCGCAGTAACAGCACAGCAAGTGGAAGGGCAAGCTGGGGCTGCGGGCCCCAGACACCGCACAGGCTACAATTCCCAGGCAACGTGGTTGGGGGCAGTTTCCAGCTCCCACTTTGTGGGTAGCAAGAAAAAGCAATGAGAATGCCGGAAATGCTTGGGTGGGTCTTATTGCTTGCCCACGCGGCAAGGGGACAACTCCCCCACCCCCACCTCTAGAAGACCCCATTCCTCTGCCCCCCCACCTCCCCCGACCCCAGTTCTCAGACATTAAGCTTCTTTGGTGTCGGGTCCCCAGTGTGACTTAGGTCGGTTTTCAGGAGTGAAGGGAGAGGAGAGTTCAGCTGCGGCCCTCCCCCAAGTTGCTAGGCCAGCTGTTCCTGTGAGGGGCGGGGGGGCGGGGCGCTACTTGGCTGGACCTCTTTGCTGATGGGTAGAAGGCGCAAGAGACCTTCAAGGCATTCTGGAGCTTCCTGGTGCACGCTCTGGGAGATCAGCAGCGCTCTGGGGAAAGAACAGCTCGCAGGGGCTTCTCCCCAAGAGGAAGAGGTTAAGGTTCCACCTCCTCCTTCCGAATGTAGTCAGGGTTCTGCGGCGTAAGATGGACCGTTTTTCCTTGCGGACCTCTTGGCCGCGGGAGTCAGAGCTAACATAGGGTCGTGGGGAAGGGAGAAACGCAGTGGACTGGTCTAGGGCTCCTTGATAGCACCTCAGCACCAAGAACGTGGAACCTGTGGAACCTGTGATAGCATACCCAACCCCATCCCTGGAATCTTCGTGTCTCCAGAGCCGCTCAGAAGCATCCCACCCCACCTGCCACAGCACTAGGGCGCTGTGACGCCACACGGGCCTCCGGCAAGATACGCCAGGGCTCCGCCAAGTCTACAGCGGGATCTCATTTATGCAGTTCGATGACGTCACAGACGGGCGGTGATACTACGGCTCCCACATTTCCCGGCCCCGCCCTGCGAATCCTGCCAGAAACGCGCGGAGAATTCGTCCGTTTCCGGACAATAGGGTCAGACCCGAAGCGTTGGTAGGTGCCCTGAGTGAGGCAGAGTGCCCGGCAGCGTTCCCCTCCGGAATCTCGTGGCTTAGAATGCTGTCCGCGCGGGTAGGGTTTCAGTGCACCAGCCGCGGCGGGATACTAGCCCCGCCCACCTTGCCCCGGCCTACCCACCGCCTCCACCACTGCGCATGCTCTGCGCGCAGGCGCAGAAGGAACTCGTTGCCCAGCATCGCTGGCACTGGAGTTAACCGTCTCGCGGCGGTGCTGGGCGGTTGGTGTGGACTTCGGTGTCCCACTTTCAGGTGTAACGAACACAGAGTACCACTGGCCCAGCGGGCGCATCCTGCTGTCGGTCTTTATGAGCCCTAGAGATGTTAACGCCGAAGAGGGCAGCTCTGGGTTAATGCGGGCAAGAGACCCTTGGAGTCTCTATGGCGCCTCGAATCCAACGCTGCCGTGGTCCGACGGAGGTACCGGGGATTCGAGCCGAGAGGGAGTGTGCGGCCCGCCCCTGCCCTAGATCCAGTGCGGCCCCAGTCTTTTCTGGGTTTTTGAGGCAGAGGTCTTGGTCTCCAGTCCAGCGGAGCTCTTGAGGCACAGGCTTGGTCACCCACCCTGCCGGTTCAGCCTGGCTTTCTGGGACGCTGCGACAGCCAGACTGATGGTTGGGCTCAGATTGCATATGTTTCAGATGAAAAATTCACTGTGGACATGAGATAGGATGAGGGGGTCAAACCTCATGTCAGTGGTAGAGGAAGAATTAGAAGTTGCGTTTCCTTTGAGGCAAGGGGCCCGAAGACCCAGTTGTAGCTTTTCCTGCCACTTACAAGGTCAAAATCATACATATTTTCTCAATCATTTATTCACCACTCGAATCAACAACTGGGCCCTCATGTGTTGCAGAACAACTTTCGCATTTATGAAGCACCATGTAAAGGTAGTAGAAATGCTTCTCTCAGCATCCTGAAGTACCCTGCCTCCCAAGCTGCCTTATTCCTTAGAGAATCTTCTTCCCTCTTTACTTTCTCATCACCCAGAGATAATGAAATGGGATGGAAGAAGGCTGTCGCCTGGACTGGTAGTCATGAAACTTCCTAGAAAACTTGAAAGAAGCCGCCTTTAACTCCGTGGAGAAGAATGGATAAATCAGTTCACAGATTATTTTTAAATTTGCTTGAGAGAGGAAGGTGGGAGACAAAATGTAAGTGCCCTACTTACCACTCCTTTGTGGCATATGGCTAGGGTGAAAAAAACAACTTGGGGCAGACTGAGGTGTCAGGGCAGGGGCCTATATATGTGGCAAGTGGGACTGAATAGGTGGTAGGGTGTCTTCCACTTTGCAAACACACCCAGCTACAGTCTTCTTTGGATATGTGCTTTCTTTGATTTGTACTAGAGTGTCCATAGCCTACGGAAAAGATAGTTGTACACTGTTGTTACATGGACAGATCTGCAGGAATGTTCCTCTTACCCAGCCACCTGAGCCCTGGCTATCTGATACCACTCCTGGCCATTTTTCTTGGCCAATGCTAGTTTCAGCTCCAGCGATTAGAAAATAGAAGGACTTAGAAAAGTGGGGTGGATGGACAAATGGAGTGAGTTTTGTTTCTTATTTCTAAACATGGAGTTGGATCTTAGCAGCTAAGCCCTCTCTGGGGAGGTGTAGGCATAATTAGTTTTCAGTGTTTGGTTTGATTGAACTCTTGCTTGTGAGATAAGATAAGGAGTTTTGTCGTAACAAGGGCAGGGATGGGTTGCTTTTTGTCACTGGTAGGAGT